AAGAGTTACTTGTTGTCCAGAACAAAAAGGAATAGGCGAATTTGTTCACAGGAAAATCCCCGAACCCCCGGACGATCTTCTGGAGCTGAAGACAACGTCTAAAACAACAATTCATTTCACTTCACTCCAGTTCCAGAACTCCTGATAGCCCCAAGTGCAATGTCCATCACCATGTCTAAATTATCGGGGAGGCGAGACAAGTTTTATAGTTTTTGTGTTAGTGCACAGAACGGTAAGGCAAATAAATCAAGCAGATATCGATCTGGCGTGACCACATGAACTATCATGAGAGATATACCAGAAATCTCTTGAAAACCTCACGGTATATAAGGTGGACGTCTATGTTGAATGTAATGCTTGATGGTGCCCATAATAGTCCGAAACGTCGCGTTATACCACCCACGCCGTGAAGAGGTCTAAGGCCGTCTGTTTGCTGCTCATTAGGCTTTCAACTGGGATCATTCGTGGTTTTAGATCAGGTGATACCGGGCTTAGGTAGAAAGTTTTACTTGGGTGGTTTTTATGTTCCTTCAAGACTTCCCGAAGGCTTTTTGGAAAGCTAATTCGAATCCATATTTTATTAAGGAAACCCCCCCGCCCAGCCGTAGTCCTTCATTTATCGTCCCCTGTATATATGGCGTAAATAAATTGAAAGTCATTCGCCGAATTTTATTTCGTTGGGAGATACAGTGGTCTGTGGTGTGCAGCCGACTCTATTACTGTATTCGGCGGAACATCGTGGTGTGAATTATCCTGAGCAGCATTTCTATGACCTGATATTAATTCGTTAGTTTTTTTTCATTTGCGTGTACGCCAGCCTAAGAAGCACCTGCTTAACAAGCGAGAAGGCCTAAAGTCTTGAGTTACTGCGACGTCTTCAAGTTCAACCAACTATTTTATTATTACGACTTGCATAAGGTGTTTCGGGAAACTCGCTGTCTTCGTTAGGGCATCAGAGCGACTCTAGCCCTGAGTGTGATTGTTGGCTGCTCGTAACATTTGACTCGGTGATAATCATGGAATAACTCGAGGAACAATTGTTAATGGCCGTCACTGATTTGTTTGTCCCTTGTCTGCTTAGGCGTATAACCTGGCCAATACCTGGACGGTGGTGGTCGGGCGTTTGCGACGGAGTAAGTGGTGAGCGGTACGTTGGTTATTGTGGTGTCTGTTTACCATATTCGAAGTCAGTGCCAGAATTTTACAGCAGGTTATGGTGTCTCAAAGAAGAGTTGAAATTCAGTTTGGTTGCTACCGAATTTATTACACGGTACTTACCAAGGGCCAATCTTCTGCTAGCACCACTAAGCTGGGAATTAGCCCGTTGATCTAAGTACTATGATAACGATTTGCTGCTAGTGCCCTTAGTACGAATGTATCCTGCTTTCACTCAACAGTGAATCTTCCATTGTCGCGGGGGTCCCCAATAACGACTGATTAAAACATTCGTTGGCTTAATACCGGGTAACAGGAACGTCTACACGCAGCGATTCCCACTGATATTTTTTGAGTGTGACGTGGTACTACAAATAACTTTTCTTCCCGCGGTCGGGGACAACGATGCTTTTCGTGCAAGGGGTTTCGGGATCTCCTGTTTGCCTAAACCATGTAGCATTTCGCATCTCTTAGAACCTTGGACAAAGTTTGTGCTGCCATTATTATGTTAAATATCAATGTACCAGATCATCGCAGCGTAATGCGTCAACATTAAGTTGATCGCCAATGCAATACATGCCAAAAGTACGCATGTTGCTAGGCAGCAAACCGTATGCAGTTTAAGCTGAAAATGCGTTGTTGTATAAAAATGATGCAATAATTGGTTTGTTTATGAACTTCCAGAGGGCAAGCAGTTTGAGATAGGGACGGGTTTCATCAATTTGAATGTGGCAAGAAAAACACCATGAAGAAAAGGCGGAACCAGAGAGAATGTCTGCGAAGACTGCGTCCATATGTCGTTTGGAGGGGATTCAGCGAATGCCTTCGTTATGCATGGTGAAGAGGGACCAGAAAACATCATGAGGATAGATGCCAAAGAGGATTTGGCATCTGGGTCTCCTTAAACTCGTCCTTCTCACTGCACCATGAGAAATTGGCCCAAAAGGCATTCGCCATTTTACGGATGATCCGACGCACCTTCTCCCGTATTACTCGCATGGACTTCCAAATACTCTATGGGGCCTACGTCAGACCGCTCCTGGAGTACGCCAACCAAGTTGTCTCATCAGGACGCACGAAAGGCATCGCCTGCATTCAGCGTGTCCAGCCGGCTGCTACGAGAATGGTCGCCGGCCTCAAATCCATGGACTACGAAACGCGTCTCGCGATGCTTGATCTCTTTCCCCTGGAGTACGGTCGCCTCCGAGGGGAGCTAATTATTACATATGCCCTGTTTGAACAAAGCTTGCAAAATAGGTTTTTCACCGTTGACCCAGCAAACACACGGCGGGGACACAGTAAGAAAATTTTCAAGCTCAGGGCACACACACTCATTAGACAAAATTTTTACTCATTTCGGCTATTGGCTCCGTGGAATGACTTTCCTCCGACGGTTGTTCACGATCCTTCTAGAACCCAGCTAAAAGCACTATTAGATATTTATTTATGCGAATCCTTGGGCTGGCAAGCATATCTTTTCGCTCTGAGAACATAAAGAGCAGTGCTGCACCCTTTTTTCACTTGTGCCTTTCAGGTGAACGACAGCCACTGACCGACAAGAACAAAATCCTCCCGGAAGCATCATCGACAGCATGACATCAGTGTTCAACACCGATGTTTCACTGCCGTACAACCATGATTTATTCGAAAGCCTTATTGTAAAGAAAAGAATAAAGGTGGATGGGGGGACTTAGTGCTAGCTTAACACAATCATTCCGAGGTGCCTACACCTCCAGACATTCACTCAGGCAATCTGGATAGAAATTGACAACAAGAACGCCACTGACATCGGTTGGCAGCCATATCTTGTAGTGTCTCCAACCAGGCACAGTGAGGATCACGCGGTCCCCATCCTGG